TTCGCCGTTCGAACTTTTTCACAACTGCAAACCGCAGTATGCCCACCTCAAAGTATTCGGGTGTGAGTGCTTTCCCCTCCTCCCGTCGCAAGCTCGTCACAAACTACAGCCCAAAGAACACCCGCACGTTTTTCTGGGTTATTCCGACATTCACAAAGGCTACAAGTGCCTAAATTTACATACGAACAAAATCATTGTATCTCGTCATACTACATTTTAAGAATAATGGTTTCCATTCAGTAAACCTCCGCCATCTCAGATCTCCAACACTACTGATGTATCTCCTGCATTACTGACTCCAGTCTCGGTGCACTCCAACAGACCATCACAATGCCTTCAGCCCGCTCTCCTACCATCCCAGAAACTTCTGCTGTTCAGACTACCAACCCGGCTCTCTCTGCCCCACCTAACGATCAACAACCCTCACCGGACTCAACACAAAACTACATTCCTTCTCATCCAATGGTGACCCGAAGCAAGACCGGCTCCCTTCGCTCAGCCACAAAACTCAACCTGCTTCATGCTCACAATCAGGAAACAATCCAGTCCGATCCTACCGCCTATACCGATGCTGTTAAAAAATTCGAATGGCGTCAAGCTATGGCCACCAAATTTTTGGCGCTTCAACGACAAGGAACTTGGAAATTAATCAAGCCATCACAAAATGCATCTGTCCTAGGATGCAAGTGGACTTACAAGACAAAGCATCACGCGGACGGCACGGTGGCTACTCATAAGGCCAGGTTGGTTGCTCAAGGCAACCACCAACAATAACTGGACTACCTTGAAACTTTTAGTCCGGTGGCGAAACTACCAACCATCCGGATTCTTCTTGCAATTGCTCTACACAACCAATGGCCGGTGCACCAACTCGACGTGGCCAATGCCTTCCTACATGGTCACATTATGGAGACAATGTACATGGCTCAACCGCATGGCTTCGAGGACAGCACACACCCGGACTATGTCTGTCATCTCAACAAAGTGATCTATGCCTTAAAACAAGCTCCGAGACAGTGGTACAACATGTTTACCACCACCCTTCTCAATCTGGGATTTAATCACAGTCAATCCAACCCCTCTGTTTACAACAACAACCACAGTCGAATCTACCTGTTAGTGTACGTCGACGACATTCTCATCTCCGGGAACGATCAAAACACCATCACGCAGATCCTCAACAAACTCAATCAGGAGTTCCACATGAAACATCTAGGCGACGTGTCTGAATTCATTGGTATCAAAATAACAAAGCTTCCTAACAGCTATTTTCTCTCGCAGGAAAAATATGTCCATTAAATCCTCACTCAAGCGAACCTCTCGGACTGTAAAGAACTTGCGAACCCCACCTGTACCAAGATCTCGGACACCTTCAATACTGAGACAGATCTGCAAGACGCCAAGATCTACCGCAGTCTTACGGGATCTCTACAGTACTTAACTATCACTCGCCCCGACATCTCCTACAGCGTAAATCAGCTATCACAACACATGCACGATCTGCAACCTCAACACATCTATCTTCTAAAACGTTTTCTACGTTATCTCAAAGGTACGTCCAAATTCGGTATACCGATTTCAAATAATGATCTCACTCTTCAATCCTTTTCAGATGCTGACTGGGCAGAAAATCCGAAGTCCAGAAAATCTACATCCGGTTACTGCTCCTTTATAGGAAACACCATCATCTCTTGAACAGTCAAGAAACAACATACAATTGCCTGGTCATCCACCGAGTCCGAGTACAAGGCGTTGGCGGCACTCACGACAGATGTCATATGGATCTGACGATTGCTCTCTGAATTCGGACTCACTCAAACCGATATATTACGATAACACCTCCGCGATTGCGCTGGCTAATAATTCAGTGTTTCACGCTCGCACAGAACATATTGAGATTGACCAAAAGTTTGTTCGTGACCACATTCAGAACAATAATATCTCCATTCTACCAATCAGTAAAACAGATCAAATTTTGTTTTCCAAATGTACCTATTTACGTTAATCAAAAAGTAGCTTAAACTTACGATATATTCACCAAGGCACTATCCACCCCGCGGTTTCAAAAACTTCGTCACAAACTAACAGTCATACATGACCCCTCAGTTTGCGGGGAAGTATTAGAACCAGAAATACAAAAGTGTCAAAAATGATTTTCGGTTTTATATTTGTATTGAGGATGATGTGTAAATTTGTAATTGGCTCCCTATACTCAGACAGTACTTTTCTGGTCTATATATATGGACCAATAGCTGCCATATAGAGACAATAATGTACATTCTCTTTATTGCTTTTTCTGAGAAATACTTTATCTTCTTGATCCATTGGTTTCTTCAAGTTGTCATTAAGACTTCGTTTGGGAAGGATTTTTAATTGTTTATTAAAGTAAATTTTTAGTACAAAATTAAAAAATTACTTTTAAAAACAACTAGGAAGCTGTCCCAAACAAAACCTTAATCCTTTTTGAATAAATTTAGATAATTTTACCCACTTGTTAGTGGCACGTGTGTGTTGTTTGTGCTATAAGAGAGATTCCAATCCATCGTGTACAAAGTAGGCCTGCTGCAGTGAAGAAAGATTTGAGTGGGCGGCAAGCAGTGCTCTTGGACGCCCTTTTGTGCCAAGTTGCCTGCTTTCAGTGCAGTGCAAGGCTTGGGAGGAATTATAGATCAATTATTTGATTACACTGTGCGCATGTTTCCATTTTATAATTCAATTGCGTCCTGAAAGAAACTGGAAAGAGTTCCAGGTATTGAACCCCCACCACAAGTTGAAACTTCAGGTAGAGTTATAGGGACCCAAAGGATGGCGAGATTATTGGGTTCAAACACAGGACACAACTTATGTTCGGTACTTCACAGTATTGAGCAGTATTGAGCTCGGTACTGTGAATTACTGAGTTCGGTACTTCACAGTACCGAGCAGTACTAAGCTCGGTACTGCTCAGTAACGAATAGGAGGTGATGTGGCACATTTTCATTGGCTTTGGACGACGTCTGATGTCCGAACCCAATAATTTCCCCAATGGATGAGAGAATCTCTGGAAAAGCTACACATCACCAACTGTAGGTACACAAGCACCCAACAAGCTCTAACTGAGCATCTATACTTTGAAGCTCACCTTGATTTGTTGATTAAAAATTTTGACTATCAATCAAAAAATCTTGAGCTTGAGTTTTTCGCATGTAATGCTAGTTTACCTTAATTGGGTTAAACGTTCGAAATAAAAAATCTCAATACTTTCGGCATCATTGCTCAGTAAAAACTGCAATAGAGAAAATAATCTTTAAAAATTGTTATACAAAATAACTTCTAAGTACAATTTTTTTTTTTTAAACAACAAAAAAAAAGACCAAACAGAAACTATGATTACGATCTAAAAAATAAAATAGCTAAACAGAAACAAAACCTTAATCATTGACTTTTCTTTTTTTTGGTGAAACATCAATAATTAAATGGCAATCTCTTACATGACAAAGCAGAAAAATAAAATGTATTGCTGATCTAATACTGTAGCAGAGTTGATGAATTCGACTTGTTAAACTTTACCATATGAGGCTGCTTAGTTGCCAAATAACTTGATATGTCAACAAGACTAGTGCCGTATACAAATTCTTACTTCAAAACAAGCACAAATTGAATGGAAAATGAGTGTCATTAAATAAGAGATTCTCAAAGCGCACTTGCCAAACAAGTATTACAAACAGGAACAAGTCAATTGAAGTAGCACAATCAGCAATAGTTCATATCTGTTCACAAAACAGACCTCACATTGTAGAGTCAGTAACAGTTGGCATGCTAAGTATTCCAACACAAAATTATAATAACATGTGGAATCAGAGAATAAAGTGGAAATTTACAATTAAGGTTATACTTGGATGATAAGAAAGCGATGGGAAGGAAATGCAAAAGAGAATGAAAGCAATAAATGCACAGTTAGTGGTTTATTATCTAGCTACTTGTTGTCTGCTTTTCAGTTTTTTTTTTTTTTTTCTCTTGATCCAAGCACTAAGTTGTTTGCTTCTGCCCTACAAACGCGAGTGGAAGAACCGATAAGGTAACAAAGGCATAAGAAGATGAAGATAACTACTAAAACATAGGTGGAGACTTAGATTTTGTTTGGAACGGTTTCTTTATTGTTTTTTAAAACAACTTTCTAGCATAAATATTAAAAATTTTGTACTAATAAGCTGCTTTAAGAAGCGCTAAGAAAACCGTCCCAAACGAAGTCTTACCCTTCATAGAAAATGAAGCCAGTTAGAGAGACTTCTACTTAGCACTCCCAACTAGAATTCATCAACCCTGACAAAGATGCAGGGCGAATGCAAAATCTCCATGTAATTGTGTTAAGTGAGGAAAACAACAATGATTGCTCAATAGATTATTTAATCAAATTAGATTAAGTATATGTTTGGGGAGACTAGCATTTTATAAAGCTAACTGCAAAACTATTATAAGACAATTTTTTTTTTAAACTATTCTCAACAAAAAAATTAGACAACCTTCTTACAACAACATACTTAAATTGATCTGATTATAAAAAAATAATTTCCCATTATAAATTTTTTTGAAAATTAGTAGAAAAGTAATAGAAAATTGATGGGAAGGAAACAATTAAAAAAGCAAAGCAATAAAGAAGTTGTCACAAATAAACCTTAATTATAATAACCAACCAAGACTCCTAACATTAAGAAAGCAAGAAATATAAGGATAATTTATAGAATGATCTAACATTATGAATACCTTAACACAATTGATGTAGTCGGTGATAACTAAAGTCGACCACCACAAATAGTAAATCGTCATGACGATCTCCTTCCCCGAAGTCCTTTTAGAGTTCACTTTTAGACTCATAAGTTTTGTTACTTGAGAAATGAAGAGGAATTAAAAGCTTTTCATTAACATAATATCATGCATATAGAAGCACAAAGAGACGATTATATATATAGCTCATATGCCACAGCTACCATTCATCAACATTCAAAGCAAAAAAATTGTGGTGTAGAAGTCAAAAAATGCTGGGTTAGTAAAATCAATATCATGACCTAAAATAATCCAAAACGCACAAAAACTCTGAAATATGACACATAAAGAACTGACAATACAAACGTCTAAGAAAATAAAATACATAAGAAATGAAAAAAGTCATCATAAAAGTGCTTCGCTACATGTATTCTAAGATTCCTTATTTATATAAACTAACTTCAGAGATGCTCCTCCATTAAGAAGCCATTTCATATGTCAGCATCCCTTCTGCAGCCCTAATTTGATTTGATTCTTGTCTTGTTTGTAGTATGGAAGGGAGTGGAGCAATAATTTCAATCATCTGAAAGGAATGTTCAAAACGAATGAATAAATAAATAAAAGTGTAAACTTCTATACTTGTAGTACACCTAACAAAATAAAAAGCAGTGTATTCATTGCATGGAGCTCAAACTAATGAAAGATCTAGGAGGGGTTGTTCTGGTAGTCTTATCCTTACAATTGCAGGGGCAGTTTTCATAACTTAAACCTTAGACCTCCGAAATATACTAAAAACAACTTAGCCATTGCAGTAGGCCCACCCTCAATACCTTCAAAAGAATAGCTACTTCAAATTCCACAATGTAAGGATTGCTAAAATCCTAAAGCGCAGATAATAAATAAAACTTCTTAAGCTAAAGTTAAACAAAATAAAAACTGAAAAAGGAGGTATGCCAACTATTATGTTTTGATGCTCTTAGTCACTGTCACGACCCGGATGGAGGCTCAAATTAATGAGGCAAGATAAGATGGTTTTCCCGTTATTAAAAATTTCGTACGCTGTTTGCTAAAATTTCTAACAATAATTATTTCCAATATATTGAAAGAGTCTTTATAATCTCCAAATAAATTTTAATGAAAAATACTATAACTATTTGAACAGATACTTTTCTCTCCGAACATCACATCTATGATACAAGGTCTGTCACAATCTAGCTCGAAAGTTCAAGTTAATGAAGCGAGAACAGACAATCAGATGGTTAATATGGTTCTTTAAATAACAATAAATACTCAATAAACTAATATTCAAAATATAACTGAAGAGTTACTAAAATAATTTTTTCAATTTGAATATATAATGAATTAATTCTTACATATAATCATCTTCTTTTATATAGGAACTATTCTCTTTCATCTATTTAATCCACAGGAGATTTCCCTGACATTTCAATTTAAATATATGAGTTTTTCATAATAAACTCAGTGAATAAATAATTATAATTTATAGTATAACAATTAAACATGCATATAGGTAGTCATGTAATCATATTCATTTATCAAAATTTTTATTTAACATACATATGAACATTTAATATAAATGTAGATCAAAATTTCTTTTCCTTCAATTAAATTTATTCTTTTAATATTTTAATAATTATAGGAGCACCGTCTAATTTTGCATCAATGCATGTACAATTATTTTCATTTTCTTCTTCATTTAACGTGCACGGATACGTTGCATTCCCAGCTAGTACTATAAGGGGGTGAACTATTATATTTGCATACATATATCTTTTTCCTTTTTACACTTTTCAATTACATGTTATTATTTATTTAATTTATTTCATTTTTTATTACATATATATATATATATATATATATTAATCTGTATACGCATTTTTTACACGCATATATAGTAGACTTTGATTGCTTAGTTATCCTTAATTTGATGCATGTCAAACACTTAAACTTTAACAAATGCATGTGCATAATATAATATTCAATAATTACAATGAAACAACAGAAAAAATGTAAATTGCATTAAAAAAATAATCACCCACTTCATTGCTTTTTTCGTGAGTTGAAATATTTTCCAAATTTTCTTTAGTATATCACCTAAAACTAATGATATAATTATGTAAATTTTACACCAATAATTAAAACTATATTTTATTTAACTCAAAATAAATCTTCATTTACATTTTAAAATCTTACCTAAATTTCCTTAAGAATCTTTACTTGGTTTTGAGACTTTGTCATAGCTTAACAGTTAAATTTTTTCCTGTCCAAAATAGCACTACTTGCATTAGATTTTACTGGTCTTAACCCTAAGATGCCAATTGTTGTCAAAATAGCATTGGATACATCAAATGTCTTAAAAATAACATCAAATGCATCAAATAAATAAAACATCGTCATAGGTCTTCAAATAATTATTTCATTTTTTATAATTTTATAATTTATTATATCCTAGAAGATTAAAATGAGGTTAATAAAGATCACATAATACTTACTTTTAATTTTCTTCTTCCTCGTAGAAATGAGACTTTCAATCACTTAATTTCTTCCTATTGACAAATCACATACTATTATTTCAATTAGAGGAATAAATTTTAAGCAAACTTTCTCTTCTAAATTTAAACAAAAAATAATAAATTTAAATCACTTGCACTTTCTCTAACATTAGAGGTAGAAACTTCCAAATCCCTCTTCCTTCTTCCTCTTGCTGAGTACCAACAAATTTTGACAACCTCAATAGAAAAGTTTTTGTCCCTCCAATTTCTTTTTCGCACAAATTTCTCTCGATCCTGCTCCCAACTCTCTTTTTCTCATTTACCTTAACTAGACAGAGCGAAATGGAGATATAATGTGTTACTTTCTTCGTTAACTATCCCACTCCTATTTGCTCACTTGCTCGCTCAGCTCGCACTAGCTTAGTCGCCCACCAGCGTTCAGTTGCTTGCCCGCACTGTAGTTAGGGGACAAATTCAATTGAACGGGTCCAATAAACAACCGGTTCTTATAATCTCCAGTTTTCAAAAAAAAAAAAAAAAAAATTAAAAAAAAAAAAAAAAAAAAAAACCATCCTAGAAATTTAAATGAAAAGTAAACATAACTTAGTTGAATAAATGAGGGTATTGAGATATCATTTTTTTTTTCCATGTGGCCTCTCCTTTTTTTAATGCTTCCATAAAATCTCCACAAATTATATCCCTCGATTCCTAAGTCGCTTCACAATATAATCCAATATTCTTTCAGACTCTTCTACATATTTTAAATCAAGCTGCAATTCAATTAAATTTGGTAAAATCCTTTTTCACTCATCTAATATATATTTTCGAAGTGCAGACATATAAAAAATATTATGTACTCCTTACATATGCACAGATAGAGCCAATTTGTAAGAAATATTTTTAATCCTTTTAATAATTTCAAAAGGCCCAATAAATCGTGGGCTAAATTTGTCTTTCCAAAATGCTGCATACCTTTCATCAGACTGACGTTCATAAAAACAAATTTGTTCAATCCAACCGATCTTCCTCATAGCAAACCAAATACTTCCCTTCCCCTCTTCCCACGCACTCTAGCAGATCGACCTAGACCCTGCAATCTCGTCAACCCACTCCGCTCTAGATCGCAAGCACCAGCGCCCATCTCCTCTTCATGCGAGAGGTCGTGCAATCCTTCTCCTTCTGATAGCAAGCTGCGATCCCACCAGTTCAAAGACCTCCACACATATAGCTCTCACGCAATCCTTGCTCCAGCTCTTCCGATCGCACGAACTTCACATCACTAGCCCGTCCAACTCAGCCGTAAGCATAGCCTCGACCACCCGACTCTACCTGATGCCTCCAGCACTAAATCGAACCCCCTTGCTAAAGCCAAACCACTTAGCCGCTAAACCTGAACAGTGCATAGCTCCCTCAATTTGATCAACCTCCGTCATCTACTTCGTAAGAGCCAAGACTCACCCGATTCCTCCACAACCTGAACAGTGCATAGCTCCCTCAATATTTCAAATCCCACTTTCGGGGTTTGCGGCGCACTGGAGAACCACCTATGCACATTTTTTTTATCGTGGTAGGAGGGAACCCAGAGTGATGCTTACGGCGAGGCGGGTGAGCCTTGTGCACACTTTTCTTAGCATGACGGGATAAAACCTAAGTGCCTGTGTACAAACTTCTATGCTTGCAGGGAAAAAACTATAAATTTTCACATAGGGTACCCCTAAAGACGCATGCACGTCTTTATTGACGGTGGGGTAGAAGACTATGGTCACGGTGTCACCCAATACCGACCATGCACACCTTTTTTGGCGTGGTGGACAGGCTAAGACTCTAAAAAATTATCCTAAATGGGAGAGACGTCGGGAGGTTGCGGAAGTTTTTCAGCACACAGGGGATTTGATTTAAGCCAATCACAAAGGACCAAACTTGCAAATTAAACTACAGGGAACATATCTCAAGTCAATAAATAGGGAACCAAACTTTAAATTAACAAATGCACAATCATAAAAAAAACAAAAGTGCTAAATAGCAATCCGGATCATTTAAATGAACGTCAACAAATGAACATGGGACTTATGGTGGACAAAACTTCAAACAAATGAAACTTCTAATGTGTACCATAACCCACACACAAGCAACTTCTAATTTTCATGTCAGTCAGCTCATAGGTTTGTGAAAAGGAACTTGAACCACCAATGGAGGAAGCTCCTAATGAATATGTTTACTAAAAGAATGATACAAGCATTGAAATTCATATGTGACAATTTCCCTACAATCGATGTCAGCTAACTTGCAAATACATGCGACAACTCCTATGAACACTGGAAGACATGCAAGCGAATGCATTAACTTACTAGCTAACATGCATGAAGAGATCAGTAATGAATGTAGCTTGACTAGTAATCAATATCAACTTATAAATGAGCACATTGATTTGCACGCAAGCAATGACAGAGAATATGTTGCAAGTATGATGGATCCTCTATGAACATAGACATGCACCATGTCGTCTACATGCAAGGACAGAAGATTGCAGCAAATGCAAATGCCTACTGGCAATAATAGAAGATTTATTGCACGCATAATGGTATGCCTACAGGCGATAACCAACAGCATGCAGTGAATGCAAGGAAATCCCTCCGGTCAACGTCAATCAAGTGTCGAGTAAACATATTAGCCTCCAACAAGGGCGGTCGATGTGCAACAAATATAAAACAATATTCATAAGCAAGCATGAAAGATCCTTAATGAGTGCAAGCACCTAAAACAACACTAGAAGATTTGCATTCAATATAGCTTGCCTGTAGGTAGCAACGAAAAGTCCGTGATGCAAACGGCGGTCCTACCTGCAGGAAATTACAGATAAGAGGGATCTACAATCAGTGAGTGCGACACACTACCTGCAGGCAAAAGCAACGAGCCTGTGATAAATGCAAGAGTATGCGAGCCACTGTAGTAAATTTGTCCTAAACACAACAAGCTATCTATATGAAATGACCAGTGACTTCTGAAAGTCCATAGTCCACTAATGACCTAGAAGCAAAATTAAAAAAGCTTACAGTGCATGATAGCTCGC